GAGAGTAAAAGGAGAAGTAACTTAGTGTCAAAGGCAGTTCTGCATATGGTAGAGGAGTTGGTGCTTTGTGTCATGAAATATTTTGTGCCCTTTAAATAGAGCACTATGCTATGGAGATGAAAGCCTTTGGCCAGCATCTTCATTGTGAAATTAGCTTACTGAGAGCATGTGTGTGAGAAGGAGGACAGACTGAAGGTACTGCTGCATTTTGAGAGTTGAAATTTATTTAGTCAGACAGGCTGCTGCACCTTGCTCATGCTGCAGCTCTATGTAGCTGTTTTTTTCTTATAAAGTGATCTATTTATTTTTATGATGTTTTGACTAGCAGCTAGTACTATACTGCAGTCAGGACACAGAAAATGAATCTAATGTGATGGACTGGTGGTCCTTACAGACAACTGGAGTCCTTCCACAGGGGCCTCGGGACCTGTGGGAGTTTATATGCAAAACGTGTGAAACTGGAGTGAAACACAATAAAAGTCTGAACAGTTTTAACTGGCAGAGAGAAGGATATTGCCAGCCAGTGTCAGGGTATGGTCTGTTATCTCTTACGGTATATTTGAATATGCTTTAAGAAAAGATTGTAATTTTAAATGGCTGGTAATTGATAACCTTGCATAGCTTTTTGGACTGAGACATTTTGAGGTTAGAAGTTCCTCTGTGTGTCTAGACAATCTTTTAATTTTATCATCTCCTTGGTCTATGTGCTCATAGGAAGAAGAGGTGCACCTTTTCTCCTGACTTTAGCTCTTGTTGTGACTTAGGGATGGCGTCTTGGTTTTAGTCCTGGTCTATTTTTTTCCACATCTTGTTATTATTTGTAATCATGGTACTATCCAGGTAGCTTCTCATTATCCATTTCTGAACTTCCTTCCTTTCTCAGGAAAGGCTAGTGAAGGTGAATAAGCAGTAGCATGCATAGGATTTCAGATGGATTTTTAATTTTTAGTTCTCTAAAAACCTACGAGATAAGTGTCAGAGTGAAGACAGATCTTCAGCACAAGCTCTGAAGTCATGTGTCTTGGTTTCAAGCCATGACGATTATTAAATGATCCTGGTTATAGTTGTTTTCTCTTAGGTCATCCTAGGGAACAGTTAATTTAAACCTTTAGCCTTTTCTGCCCTTGTTTTCTCTTCCTGGTGACTGGTATTTTGGAAGCTTTTGTGGTGACCTTGAACCGAGTTTGCACACACTGCCAATAAACGGCTGAGTTGGAGCTGTGGAGCAGCCAGTGCTTCCTACAGGTCCCTTGTAAATAACTTCACACCAGGAGCTTGCTCCACTGAAACTCATCAGTGTAATTGTGGGGGTTTGGGGCGGTGTTCTCCCTTGTAGCCTAGAAAAAGTATTTAACTTGGTGTAATTTGCAGATAATTCATATAAAGTGGAAGTTCAGAAGCAGTGCATGTTGATTTGTGGCTGCAGAGAAGGGTATTCCTCTGGTCTGTCCCCTTTGCACTCTGCTGACCGATTTCCTTCCCCGCTTCACAGGAACGTGGGTTACTGAGTAACTTCAGGCTGAGCCTGTGAGCGACTCCTTGCTTTCTGAGTCCGAAGTGGCAGTTGGTTCAGCTTTGGCACTTGCAAGGGCTGTTTATCACTAGTGTGGTATTAGATGGGAATGGTTATTTGGCAGTTAATGATGATTAACCCTCATTGCACGTCCTGGGCTATGGCAGTCAGGCACCTGAATTTGATTTTTGAGCCTGGGACTGCAGCAAATACATATCGGAAAGCTCCTAGTATATCTTTTGTGTTCCCTCCTTAGTATTTTCTCCCTGATAGACAGAGGTGATAGCAGGGACAAGCGAACAGCATTTCTGCAGTGGCACCTCTGCATCAGACAAAGCTGTAGTAGAAGTGCAGCCAAGCAGTTACCCAAAAAACACACTTGCACGTGCCATCGTTGTGCCTCCTTGCCATGTGGTAGAAGGTAGTTGGAAGGTGTATATTAAGAAAAAAACCAAAACGTGGCTAGATGTTAATGCTGAATAAAATGTGTAAAGGTGGGCATTGTGTATCCCCATGTGTATATGTTAGTATTGGTGCTTGAAAGAAATAAGGTATCTGTTGAAAGGTATATTTTGGATATGCCTGTATAGTCGTAGCATTAAAAAAATGAGTCGTACTGATCTAATTTGAGTCTTCTGCCATTCTCTGATAAACAAAAAGAAAATACTGTAGTACTTCTGTTTACTGATCGGTTTAAGCCAATGTACTTTCTATGCAGGGCACTGTCTAAGCACCTCCCTTCCCATCCCTCAATTGCCTCCCTCCACTACAGCTTTCCTGCCAACTTGAGCCCAAAAACTGGCTAATTCACTGGGTGGCTTTTGTAATAGCAAAGGGAGCAGACAGGGGGGCAGGTGGCATAAATCGGTATCACCACAGAAGGAAACAAAGCAGAACCACATCAGCTAAGTCTGGTGTTGCAGGCGGATTTCGGCGTTTAATAGTGTACACCTGTGGGCATCTCTTACAGGGAATGATGGACAAAGCTTCGAGAACCTTAACAAGAGTAATGATTCAGAAAACGGAGCTGGCAGAAGAGGTAGAAGTAATGGGGTTTTTTGTTGATGTGTTTGATTATTCTTTTTTCCTTCCACTTGGACTCCCAGTCTTCTCTCTAGAGATAAGTGACAAGTACTTCTTTCCTCTGGAAGCTTAATAAAGAAGGTGGTGGTGGTTATTCCAATTGAAGAACAACAAAAAAGGTGGTTTGGGTTTTTTTGGTGTGTTTTTCTTGGTTTGGTTTTTGGGTTTTGTTAATTTTTGATTTATTTTTTTTTATTGGCAAAGATGACTTAAGCTTACTGTTTAGAAATACTTTCTAACTGATCAAATGAGAATCACTGGACAGGGTGAGGAGGTCAGCCTTTTGTTTTATTTTATTTTTAATTTAATTGTTATTTTTTTTTAAATTGTATTTTATTTTAGGTTTGACTGATGCCTGGTGGAAGTAGCGTAGGTATACTTGCTTGTGTGCCTTGATGCAGCACAGTTAAATCTCCTGTACCCTTTCTGTAAGCCAGTTTATGCTTTGCCTTGACCTTCTGCAGATCGAAGTTATTTCAGCTTTGATGGCTTTGTAATGCCAGTAACCGTATAACTGGTTAACACAATACTTCATATAGTAACCAATGCTGTAAGGCACATGGATAACATTCAAAAGAAGTGCCAGGTAATGTCTTTAATGGATTTTTCTGCCTTCAGTGTCAGACTTCGATACAAGATGATATGTGCACAGCTTAAAAAAAGGTCAGTTTAGTTGTATCTGAGTAATCCCACTCGTCAGATTGTTTGTTTGGAACTAATTAAACTCTCAAAGCAGTAACTTTTGAGTTCTGTTTTAATCACACTTAACATTAGGCATGTGGATTTGTGTAATCACAGGTAACATGCTTATTTAGTTTAGGCCTGATGAGAGTTTTCTCTGCCACCAAACTTCTATCAAGAAGTTTCATCCCTATTTAGTAAGGAAGCATCTGAGCTTTGATTGATAGGAAGAAGATTGACTGGGTTGGGTTATGACAGAGCAAGAAAGCCCGAGCAGCATCAAGTCAGAGCCTTGTTTCAGCCCAGTGTCACCTTGGTTATGTGCTGATGCAGTATTGGTGCCGGGCAGTGTAGATTTAAAAGAAAAGGTAGGTGAATGTATAGGACCTCCCAAATTGGGATTGTGTTGGGAAGCGCAGGTAATGAGCACTGGATTATTTGTTACTTTGTTCAAAGCAGTGGTTTCTACCCAAGGGTGTTGTGAGCATCAGCCCTGCAGTAGCTGGAGAGGAAGGCACAGGAGAGCCATCCTCCATGTGCCAAGAGATGGCTCTGTCCACAGCGCTCTCAGCCAGCTGTCTCGCTGCTCCCTCGAGCACATGGCTCTGGTTCATGCCTGTACCTGGAGGGAGCAGATCTGGATTGGGCTGGCAGGGGTTTCCTCTGCCTGGCTTCTGCCCAGGAAGCTTTAGGGTAAAAGATAGGCTAAAGGTATGAATCACTACAGTAACTTCTTATTTTCAGTTCCCCATTAGATGTCTTGAGAATCTTACCCTTACGAGAGAAATTCCTATTTGCTGCTTAGGGAAGGATGAGGGCTGGTTTTAATATGTAACTGGAACATATGTACTCTGTAGTTTATCACTGCTTCCTGAAATATGAACCCTTCTTGCCTGAACTTTCAGCCAGTGCAGGTCACTCCGTCTTTCTCAGGGGCAGCTGTGAGCTGTGTGACTTCTCCTTGGTGTTGGTCTGCCTGTGTACTTGTCTGATCGTGATCCATGCTGATGTGGTTGAGGCAGGTGAGGAGGGAGGGATGGTGAGGCCCCAGCAAGCAGGCAATGGGCCACCAACCACGACTCGCTCCTTGCTCCTGGCTCAGGACTTTCCCATGAAAGCAGGAGGTGGGGGGCGCAAGCTGTGGCCTGTACAAAATGTTTCTGTACATAGATTAATGGTTTTGGCCTGTGATTTAAGATTTATGTGCTGAAAAAAGAGCAATACTGAGCTTGGGTATGGTGATTTCCTATGTGAACACCAATTATATAATTTTTGTTTGCCATGTTAACACTAACATGGGTGTCCAAGCTGCTCAGTTAAGTTGATGTTTCTGGCAGTATTAGAATTTGAAATTATTGATATTTTCTTTTGCCATCTAGAGAGCAGGCACAGAGAAATACAAGTATTAAACCAGGATGCAGTAACGTTACTGGAGGGGAAACCTCCCAGTCTGTTGCCAGAGGCTCTCAGGAGCGGTGCTGGAGGTGGTGTCTGTGTGATAAAGATAGCTGTCAGCTGCATGGAACAGTTTTGCTTTTGAAAAAGACTAATCGGTTGCTAAAAATTCCTATGTGTTAATGCTTATTTAAATCTAGCCCAGGCCTCTGAGCCAGCGGGTTCTGTTAGATATTTTAAGAAATGCAGGGTTGGTACCTTCCTTGGGGAAGGCGGCTGTTGAATCAGTCCTGTTTCAACAACAACTTTTCCTTTTCTGATTTTAGGCTACTTGTGAAAGATGGTGGATCGCTTGGCAAACAGCGAGGCAAATACAAGAAGAATAAGTATAGTGGAAAACTGCTTTGGAGCGGCTGGTCAACCTCTGACTATTCCTGGCCGTGTGCTGATCGGAGAGGGAGTGCTAACAAAGCTGTGTCGGAAGAAGCCCAAAGCACGGCAGTTCTTCCTGTTCAATGACATTCTCGTTTATGGCAATATTGTCATCCAGAAGAAGAAATACAATAAGCAGCACATAATCCCACTGGAAAATGTCACTATTGATTCCATCCAGGATGAGGGAGACTTGCGGAATGGGTGGCTTATCAAGACACCAACAAAGTCGTTTGCGGTTTACGCTGCCACTGCCACAGAGAAGTCCGAGTGGATGAACCACATAAATAAGTGTGTTTCTGATTTGCTTTCCAAAAGCGGGAAGACTCCTAGCAATGAACACGCGGCTGTCTGGGTACCAGACTCAGAAGCCACCGTGTGCATGCGCTGCCAGAAAGCAAAATTTACGCCCGTCAACCGCCGGCACCACTGTCGCAAGTGCGGCTTTGTCGTCTGCGGGCCTTGCTCTGAAAAGAGGTTTCTTCTCCCGAGCCAGTCCTCCAAGCCTGTGCGGATTTGCGACTTCTGCTATGATCTTCTTTCGACTGGGGAGATGGCTGCTTGTCAGTCCACCAGATCAGACTCCTACAGCCAGTCACCTAAATCGTCTTTAAATGACGTATCTGATGACGATGATGACGAAGACAGCAGTGATTAAGGACCAAATGTTTTTTCCATGTGTTGCAATTTGTGTTTCAAACCATATGGAGCTGCTTTTGGGGAAGTCTGCAGTGAGGTTCCTCAGAAAAATCCTGTTCTAGCCATAAAATATGCCTGAATCTCTTCAATTGCGATGTGCCTCAATCTATGAATTCTCTAGACAGTAGGTTTTTCACTCCTCTGCAGGGGTAGACTGTTGCAAATGTTATCAGAATATTTTCCAACTTCTTATACTTGAGTTGTGTCTAGCTTAGACTTTTGTGGAAGATTGGAGAATAAAATGTGTTTTCTTAATTTAACAACCCATACTTCCTAATTCTTCATATCGATATGTTGTTATCTGGATTTTTTTGAATATGGGGAAGAAAACTGCAAGCATGCATATTTTGGTTAAACCTTTAGATCATCTTGTTCTTGTAACCATGGTATATACTAAGTTGGAATGTGACATAACTTACAAACTTAAATGTCACAGATCTTGGGATTTGTCTTGTTTTGCTCTTATTTATGACTTCCTATGCCAAGCAGTGCCTTGTACCAATTGTGCTGATTCAGGAAGAAACTAGTCTATTCCGTGTCATCTGTATTTGCCTGATGCTGGTATCTGAGAAGACTGTTGGTGCTATTGAAAATAACTGCTGTGTTCAAAGTGGAGCTCTGACAAGGCCATAACTGTCCCCCATGGTGGGTGGTGGATCCCCAGATCGCATGTCCTCGCCTGTGCAGGCAGACCCCCAGGCTTCAGTGGGGTTCTCCTCACAGGAGCTGCGTTGCAGGTTGGGATCTTGAGATGAGAAGCTTAGGATGACTTCTCCTGGGGATTTATACATTTCCTTTTCAGAACAGTTTTGAAGCTTCAAATTTGGCAAATGGATACTGAAATTTTAGTTGGATGATACAGCATTTGGATGTGATAGCCTATATACCTTTGGAAATTATTCCCCAAATTACACTAAATTGTTTCTTAAAACATTGGTGAGAGGGCTGGTGTGTTTTTCCCCAGGAATTTTATCGGCTTGTTTAAATATAACCTCATTTTTTTGAACAAAAAGCCTGCAAGTATCTTTATAAAATTGGCTTTCCTTTTTACACAGCTGACCTCAGGGTAAATGTGAGATGCAAGTTATTTCATTCTAAATGTATACCCAGGACCAAGACAGATGTATTTAAGAACTATAAGAAATTGTCAGTGCAGAAAATGTCTCTACCCATACTATTAATTTTTACTTTTAATAAGTTCTTGAAAACAGAAATATCGTGTTCCTGTATAAATGTAAAAGTTAGACTTGCAATGACCTGTTAAGCCCTCAAATGCTATGTTTCTATATTTTTATAATGTTAGTGTCAATTTTGAAGCAGAAAAACCTCTTTGAAATAGTTGTATGATTATAGTAGCAACTGACTTTATAGATGAAATGTTAAACTTTTGTATCTCTAGGTGACAATTTCTGCACTGTTTGCCTTGGTTGGCAATAATTGGGTTAAATATTTATTGAATAAACAATCAATGCTGCATATATTGCACTAGTCTCCCATTCTGTATACTGTAAATGTGAGTCATAATTTTTTAATAAAAATTAGCAGAGCACTTCAGAGCCATTAGCCCTCCCTGAGCTTTCTGGTAGCTAAGGATGCACTTAGCATCTTCAGGGAGGCATTCTGCGTTAGTAATCTGCAATACATTGCTTCAGGTGAAAATTGCATTAGGGCAACTTCTAAAAATAGGGGTTTGGGTTGGGTTTTTGGTTTTGTTTTAGAAGCACTGAAGAGTATTTGAACTACTTTGCAGTAAACATAAAAAAGAGAAAAACGCTTTCTGATGGGGACTAGGGACCAGGAAGATTCTGTAAAATTGCCAGATAAGCAATAAGCAATTGTATATACTCAAAAACTAGCTGAAATAAATAGTTACATTCACTTACTCTGTGAAAGATGAGGAAATGATGACCTGCAGCAGAGGAAAACGGGCTATTCTGAGAACTTCTCTAAGTTAATAGTGCTTACATTTTGTACCTCTTTTACTCAATATTTATATTTCAGGAATGGAGACTTGTCAGCTTCAATATTTCTACAGAGGCAAAGTGCAAACCTCCTTTATAGAAACCTTCCCATGACTAACATTCGTTTTCTTCCTGGTGCAATTGTTTCCTCTTTCTTAAGCTGTCAAACATTAACTTGTCTTGCTAAAGAGCCCATCTCCTCGTGTGCTTTTCCCCATGTTTCTATGTGTTGTGCTTACTTTTCAGCACTTTTTAGGGGGTGGGAAAAGGGTTGCCGAGAGATCACATCCTATACCTTGTAGAATGTTCCTGTACCTACATCAAATATCTCCTTATCTGTGAACAAAATTTGCACTGTTCTGCACTGATCCCTGAAGCTGTAACCAAACTGATGTGTGTGTGTGGGGGATTTTTCATCTGAAATGAATGTATATGGTCCAAGCTTTTTGAGAAGGCATTAAGAAAAAAAACCAAAAGTGTTTTATGGTAATATTCCAGTTTCTCAGTGGTATTTGTTTAAAACATTACAAAATGGACATAACATCAACTTCTTTTGTACTTAAAAATTCCTGAAAGGGCTCGTTTCGTACTTTGTAATCTTGTTATGTCAAAGTTATTTTATTTACAAATATATGGTATAGCTTCAAGCCTATGTGTTTAATTTTCTTTAACTGTGGGCCTTCAAGGGTGACAAAAAATAGGGTGGCTGTTTTTATCTTGTGAAGTGTTTTAGTTTATGCACTGTCAGGAGGGAGTAATGAAGTGGGGGTATAAGCATGCAGGAGAAGATTTAAGACTGAAGTGGAAATAAATATGGTTATGGATTCAGGAAAAAACCCAACCAACCAGCTTATGCGATTGAGTAACTGTTCAAAACGAGGATGACCAAGTGTGTTGCAAAGTTGGCTTTGTTGGGAGAGGCTGGAGACCCCCCAGGTGTAGTGGGATGCTGAGCAGCCCAGCCCCAGGCCCTGTCAAACTGCTTGCTGGGGATGGGGCTTCTTGTGATACCACACTGGAGAGTAACTTAGTACTTCTCCTGGAGCTTCTTCTCTCTTAAGATCTTAAAACAGTGATTAAATACGGTCAGTCTGTACTGTTTTGGTTTGTGGCAGTCCTAACCTGCTCTTTTTTGGTAAGTTTTTCAAATCCCATGGCAGGAAAGCAGCAGCAGTGCCTGCAGTGTCTCTTGCAAGGCTCTGCAGTCAGCTGCTGTGTTGTAGGAGTTGTGGTATTGAAGAAGTAACTACTTACTTGCTTTAGCTGAGTTCACATTTTGCACACTCTTTGCCAGTACTTCATAGTTTGTTTGCTGGAAATATTAAAGGAAAGGGAAAAGCCTTTTTTTCTGAAGGTTTTAATTTGAAGCCTACTAATTTTAGCCTCTGCACCTAAACTGTTGTTGTCATCTTAAGATAAATTAGACTGTTTTCCTTTCCAGCTTGATGCAGCTGAACTTCCTGTAGCTAATGAGGGGTCTTGTGAGGGTCAAGTGCCGTTACACAGTTTAAAGTTTAAAAAAACAGGCAAGCGGATCAATGAGTGAGTTTGCAGCTGGGCTTTTATGGTCTTTTCTCAGACAGATTATGAAAATGACATGCAGAAACCTTTTATTTATGAGGGCTTTCTTTCCTGAGGGATGCGCTTTAGCTAATCTCTTAATGCAAATGAAATGGTGGTTATCATCGTTGCTGGTTAAAGTTTTCAGTGGAAGCAGATTACCGACCATGTTGTTGTGATTTTTGTATTCTCCTGTAATTTTCCTGAAGAAACAGAAGAACGCCTGGTTCTGTTAGCAGATACAGCTGGAATAATCGGAGTACTGATTTTATTATGTTGTTTTTTTTTTTCCCCCCAGTAGCAAATGATGGTAGTAAATATTAGAAAGTGTCTTGGCTGTTTACTGCCTTTCACTTGTTGAAATCTGAGCTGCTTGTTTGTGCCTGCAGCTGCTCTCTGGCCAGCGCTGGCCGCTGTGGCTCATCGGCAGCCGATGCTCCTGCTGGGAAGGATCTCTGCTCTGTTCCCTCGCTGTGGTTGGGCCCGGAGCTGCCGGGAGTGCAGCACCGCGAAGCCGGCTCTGCTGTGCAGTGACGCACGGCTCTGCTGCACTGCATCCGTCTGAAAACGTTCTTGAGCTCCAGCAGGTGTAAGAAAGCTGAACCTCGGTCTTAAAACTTGAGATTGAGTGTTTTCGAAAATGCTTTCCAGTTGTCTGTAAAGTACTGATTGTGCCCGGGGTAAAAATCACACCACTTTGCACTTGGACACATTTAGGATAAAAACTAACAGTGCAAATAGATGGAGTCTACAGTGAAATGATTTGCTAAGGAGCAGGAGGCGTTTCAGGATCACTTAGTGCATCTAATGTTTAGCCTGCCTAAGTGCAATCTCCTTTCTATTGGGATGAAGTTTCACATTTCTAAGACTTGCAGTTAACTTGTATCTAGGATTTTAAGAAACTGTCTGCAGGTAATTGCTGCAAGCACAAGAAGTTCCCAAGTAGCAGCAGCCGCAGCCAAACCGAAGGTGATGCAGAGAGACCTGAGTCCACCCCTCCCTGTTGGAGGTCATTCTGTTACACAGGGGGTAACTGGATTAAGTGGTAAGAGCACATCTAAAAGAGACCTTCTTTAGAAATCCTTTTACACAGGGTGATGCCCTCAGCCTAAGTAGTGTTTGGGCAGAAAGCAAGAGCTCATTTTATTCAGATGTTTTGAGGCCTAACACTAATGAGTTCAAGGGCTGAAATCTTTCAGCAGTCAGATCTGTTGACCTTCTGTAGGCAGTCTTTTATGCTGGTGAAAATTAGATGTGGTCAGCTCTATTACAGGTGTCAGTGGCTTGCTAGAAATTAATTTTAGCTTCTGGCTAGACTTAGTATTCTTTTTTCCCTTCTCCAAAAGCTGTTGTATGCAAATTTAATTGTAGTCTGTGTTGTACTAAGAGTTGAGGCTTTGCTGGCTGCTTTTATAAAGCTGAGCACTCCTAACCTGCGAACTAGTAACAGGTTTGCATGATGCCAGCAGTCTCTGAGAAAGCTGTCCTGCAGCAAGGATGAGGACCTGCTTAGTCTGCTTGAAATAGCAGTCAGTTCCTTCTGATACCTGTTTGCCTCGGTCCGGGTCTATGCTGTCTGTAGAATGACAGCTCCAAAATGAGCTGGACACTTGATTCCATGTAGACAGATCTATAGGTAGAGTCATTTCCTTTCTTCCCCACCTGGCTTGCTTCATACATGCTTTATCAAGGTATTGTCCTGGAAGATATGATGGATAACCGAGGGCTGAGCCTGCCTCTCCTGTCTGACCAGGATGATGTGAATGCTGTTGTGGTGTCATAATGGGCTGTGGGATGTGTTTGCCTGTGTTAGGAATA